GCCTCCCCTGGTTGCACTTTCGCTGCCAAACGCCGCCTCAGAATCCCCAGAAAAAAAAAGGACGTCTGTTGCCATTGGTTTCGCTCATCTTGGCCCCGAACACCTGGTCACGCCACGGCTTTTCCCCTGGTTGCACTTTCGCTGCCAAACGCCGCCTCTGAATCCCTAGAGAAAAAAAAAGGACGTCTGTTGCCGTTTGTTTCGCTCATCTTGGCCCCGAACACCTGGTCACGCCACGGCTTTTCCCAATCTAATTCTGGTCCAAAACGAGCCTCCCCTGGTTCCACTTTCGGTGCCAAACGCTGCTTCTGGATCCTTATATAGAACAAAGATAGTGCTATTTTTCTCGCGCATCTCGGCCCCGAACCCCTGCTCACGCAAACAGCTTTTTCTCATCTTCTAGATCCCCGAACACCTGACCCCGCCACAGCTTTTCCCAATCTAATTCTGGTCCACAACGAGCCTCCCTGGTCGCACTTTCGGTGCCAAATGCTGCTTCTGGATCCTTATATGGAACAAAGATAGTACCTGGCCCTGCCACGAACACCTGGTCACGAGCCTCCCCTGGTCGCACTTTCGGTGCCCAACGCTGCTTCTGGATCCTTATATAGAACAAAGCTAGTACTATTTTTCTCGCGCATCTTGGCCCCGAACCCCTGGTTCGTGCTGAGACGAAGGAGCGCAATAGGTTGCGGTTCCAGTGATGCGTGTGTTCGAGCAGCATGGAGCAGTGGAAGCGTCTGTTGCCTGCAGGTTCGTGCTGAGACGAAGAAGCGCAAGGCTCCCGCACCTGTAATCCCTCGCGCGCTCCCCCTCCTTCAGCCGGGGTCGGCGGATATATATCAATCGTTCGATAACATGACCACTGGAGAATGAGTAAGTTCAACAAATTAGTAGCCTTTTGATCAATAATCAAAAAACCATGTAAAAACAATTCATGGGCGGTTTTTCATCATGAGTCCACTTTATATCTATCGGGCCTAAACATTGACCAATGTACATCGGTTCTATGTTGAACTCCCCCGCGTACATGTTTTGTTGGTTCAATCCACAGGTGGGGAACTGTAGAGAGATATACATGACATAGTCCAAAAGTCAAGTTCCTACAAAATGTCTTGGAAGTCAAGTTGTGTATTTTTATTTTATAATTTGGACCCTATGGACCGGACATCATACAGCTTGGTTGCATTTGTTGCATTCCAGCGATCGGGATGCATAGTATGGACCCCGAGGGGAGAGGCATCAAAAAAAGAAGCAAACATGCATCAAAAAGCTATACATCAAAAAACATAAACATGCATCAACAAAATATATAAAAAAAGCAAAGAAAGGAAGAAAGGCAGGACGGACGGAAGGAAGGAAGGAGTGAAATGAGATGAAATGAAACGAACATGAACATGAAAATGAACGAAATAAAGAATGAATGAATGAATGAGTGAACGTTGATTTCCGGTTTGTTTGTTTTTTTCGCATGGAAGATTGCTTTTCCCTCCGCACTTTGGATCCGTTTATGTTACTTTTGATTTATTTATTGTTTATTGATGTTTATTGATCCCCTGAAATATGTTTGTTTGATTCATTTGTGTTTTTTTGATCCCTCGCCCGACCCTGAGTGGTACATAAGAGTCCATGTGGACATTCAATCATTCTCTGGATGATCCTCTTGCTTCACCAGTTTGGAGTGTCGTTTCAATCCCACACTATCGCTTTCATGTGTTGCCTAAATTGGCGGCTTGAAAATCGGGAAGGCAAAGCACCAATCGGAACGGTTGGAAGATCCAGGTCTGACACGAGACACGACCAGTAACGGTTGGACGCTCCTAGTAGCGACGCCCCTTTTTCCTAGTAGCTTTTTGCTCCTAGTACTTCCTCTTTGTTCTTCCCTGTTGAGCGGACAATATTTCACCACAGACAGGTCCACACGAGGCCACAGCGCCATTGGCACGGACCGGACGCACGAGGCCATACGCCATACTCCCCTGCAAATGAACATGGACCAACCATTGGTTGGTAGAGGAAAGCAATCTTCCAGGGGGCCATGTGAGTCCAGACGGTCCAAGTTTTCGGGAGTGGAATACTCAGACGTTTGTTCGTTTGTTCGGTCCCGGCGAGAATACCGGTGAGGTTGTTCCCAGCGAGTGGAATACTGCGAGCGCCAGCGGCACGCGGGATCCGGCGACAGTTCGGAAGCCTCAGCGCCGCGGGATCCGACCAAAGGGTGGAGAGGCTCCGCGGACCTGGCCCTGTCTGGAAGTGCCCTGTCTGGAAGAACGGCCCTGTCTGTTTGGGCTAGTCCAGCCAGGACACCATGGTCGGAGGGTCCAGGTATACTATAGCTAGATATAAGTGCTATTTATTGACACCTAGGACCCTCCAATGTGTTTGGTCGTTCCTTTTTTTTTGCGGCACCGATGGTCCAAACGGAGCACCTGTTGGAGGAATACTGCTACTACGTAAAAGATCGTAAAAACAGTTGTCAGTGCGACCTTGACTAGGAGATGCTTTGGAAAAACCTCCAAAAGGTTGCTGGTTTGTTGGTTTGTTTGGAATAGTCTCGAATAACTAGGTGGTTTGGAATATGTTTATGTTCAACCTTTACTTGGGATGATTGAGCCGACTGACTCGTATATGTTTCCAAGGGTGTTGAAACCACCAACCAGTACGTTAAGTTCTTTGGATCATAGTCATTGTGCGATCACTGTTCGAACGTGCCCAGCAACAGCGGAGGGATGGAGGAGATTACCAAAACTTCCAGTGTGTTGGGTTGAGCCTTTTGAAGATCAAATGGACATACACTAAGTGTCCTTGACCTGACTTGTTGGATGCACTTGCTCATAGCTTTGTGAGTTCTTCGTGTGGGCTTGGTATGCAACCCTGGCAACCATCAATTAGAACACGAACTATTTAGAGAAAACCTCCAAATCCTATATAAAATAATATGCAGTACTTCCCTGATGTGTGAACATGGTTACCAAGAACTTGGCAACTGTTTCTAGAATGGAACTTCATATATGTACTCCGCCCGTCCCCTCGACTCTCTCCCCACCACTAACTTGGAACAGTCAACCGGAAGAATACCGCGAACGAGAAGACAACAGCAAATGGTCCATGTAGAATCATTTAGTATATATTCTGTATATCTGAATCAGTATAGTATAAATCATTTGATTTTGATATCTATTTTGTATATATCACATATGCTTTAGTAGAACACAATCGATGCAAAAACGTCTCACCGGACCTTATTTGATTCCCAAAGGCCCGGACCAGGTCCAGTCGCAGCCGGTTCGGGCGGTGGGGCCGTGAGTGTCTCCCTTTTATTTACTGAGTGACTTCCTGTTCGCTGTACTGTAGCAGATCAACTTAAAGGATATTGGCAACTGTTGCCTCGAAGTTCTCCAAGCAAAAATCATATCCAGCAGATGAAAGCAAGCAAAGGCACAAGCAAACGCTTTGCGCACTCTGAGGCCAAAGCTTTGAAGTCGAACGTCAGCAGTATGAGGCCAGGACCCCGCGCGCCGGGAGGAACCGTCGACGCGGCACGTCCGTCCTCGACTCTCTTCACACCGTCTCTTCGCCGGGAGTCGATCGAAAGTTGATCAGTTTGTACTGGTAAGTGACAAAACCTCACACGTAGTGACATCTTCGGTGAAAAGAACGGGCTCAATTGAACAGTCATTTGGCCCTTTGACACATGTTTGTTCCATGTTAATGCGTTGGAATTTAATCGAAATTAGTTGTACTTTCAAGTAAAGCTTTAAAGTAGGTTTGGGCACTGTTTTTCGTTTGAGAACAGTATAGAGCTCTGTTTATATACAGTAGTTTTGAGAACCTCAATTCTTCGCTCCCATCCACTTTGCTCTTTTTCACACTTCCCGGTCTCCCAAAAATGGGGTGCCCTTTTTTTGTGGTTCACTTAGTACATGTCCATCCCCCATGCTGGGACCCCGTTTTCCCGTCATGGGCGAACCTCCCGACAGCTCCCGACCGGTCCGGGCTCCACACCCAACGCCCAACGCCCAACGCGTTCAGATCGACGACGCGATGGGCTTCCTGCCGTGGAGCTTGGCCGCCCAACTGCGGCTGGTGCTCTTCGGTCAGGGGAACCCAGGGACTGAGGGAGACGATCTCGTCGGACGAGGGTAGAACCAACACCTGGTATACAATTGGGTGGTGGTGAACCATCGCGCAGGGTTTGGGGCTTGGGGGTTGGGGGCCCTGGTTTCCAGTGGTTTTGGATGGTTGAGGGGTTGGTGTATACACCTGAAGTATTGATCATATGTATGTTGCTTTGGTTTTCTCGTGCAAAGCTCAGGTTCTTCCCGATGGTGGCCACGCAACAGCCCTCAGGCGGGGACCAACTGCGAAGAACTCTTGAGCATTCTTGAGCAACATCTCAATTGAAGCATGAGGTTGATCTCAGATGGTTCTGATATAGGTTCTCTTCGCATCACATAGGGTGGTTTGATGATGTTTGATGTTCATCACAAGCCTCTCATGTGCTTCACAATCAAACATCAACATCACCAATCGTGCGACATCGACCTGCATCGTTCGACCGACCCGGCGAGGCGCGCCAGTCGCTGCCCTCGGCCATCGCGGACCGGGGCTACTCGCCCCTCGTGGTGGAGCTGAATGGTCGGAGAATCCCAGTGGGGAAGGGAAGTGTGGAGTAGTGTGGACGTACGTGCCAGGCTTGCATAATCCCAGACACTTCAAGAAATAGGAGAAACTGGATTCTCATTCTCCCATCATGTAATGAAATTGATTCAATTATGTTCATTTAGATTAAACTTTTGATTAAACTAGAACTAGACCTCCCAGTGAAAGACCCCTGGAAAGGAACATCGACCAGTACCATCCAATACCTATTGGTTGGTGGTCTCCCTATTCAGATCATTTAGAATCTGAAATACTGCTGACATGTGCTGACATGTTGCTCAGATTCCTCACCCTGGTTCTTCCAAGTCACCATTGGATCCCATTCAACTAAACCCTCTTTGGGGAGATCACACACAGGCCGGACAAACAGGCCCGCCAGGTCACACATCGGGGTCCACTTATTCAATTGAAGGGAGATCAGGGAGATCCTCATCACCGGGTCACATCATGATATCCCTAGGGCTCCTGGCCCATATCCTCAGGTTCGGTGGTTAGACCCCCCTGGCACCCACCCCAACCATCTTCAAAACGGAGGTGGTTGGAGCCCTACAGGGTATATTCGTACCCGGGGGGTCCCTACCTCCTTTCGACCCAGAGAGCTTCGACCCGGAGAGATCATCGACCGAACTCGGACCGACGATCCGCTCGGGTCGACGCCCAGCCGCGAGCCGGGCGATCGGAGCCGGGCGATCGGAGTCGGGCGATCCGAGGGAGTTTGCAGCTTCCAGAAGGGGATCTCCACCGGCAGTTTGAGCCGGTGCGGTGACGACGGGTGGGTTTGTTCAGGGCAGTCGACTGGGTGGATTGGTCATTGTTGGGGTGGGCAGGTGTCACCCCCACATGCCATGATATGATTATGTCATGGCTTAGTAATGATAGTAATGATAATATACTTAATTTGATTGGTGACATGCAATGGCAGGAGGCTCTCAAAATTGACTTGCCCAAACTTGACCAAACCCAAACTCCTTTTCGTGAGCCCGGAGCATTGGGGAAAGCCCAAAGAAACGCGCATCGCTGATGCAGCGCCCCTTGATCATCCACAAAAAAAACGGTGGAGAGATAACCAGAGTGATTCCTTTGACCCATGCCGGCCCAGGCTTGGAATTCAAACGACCTTCTGATGGAATTGAATGGAATTGAAATGATCGGCTGAATGCTTCTATAGAATTGAAATGTTTGTTGGTTGTTGTTTGGTGGTTGTGGTTGTTGTTGTTGTTGTTGTTGGTGGTGGTGGTGGTTATTTGTTGTTGTTGTGGTTGTGGTTGTTGTTGTTGTTGTTGTTGGTGGTGGTGGTGGTGGTGGTGGTTATTTGTTGTTGTTGTTGTTGTTGTTGTTGTCTGTTGTTGGTTGTTGGTTGTTGGTTGTTTGTTGTTGTTGTTGGTGGTGGTGGTGTTCGTGTTGGTGTTGGTGTTGGTGGTTGTGGTAGTGGTAGTGGTTGTGGATGTGGATGTGGTTGTGGTTGTGGTTGTGGTTGTTGTTGTTGTGGTTGTTGTGGTTGTTGTTTTGGTTGTTGTCGTTGTGGTGGTGTTTTTTTTTTGGTTGTTGTGTTTGGTTGTTGTTGTTGTTGTCGGTGGTTGTTGTTGTTGTTGTTGTTGGTCGTGGTCGTGGTCGTGGTCGTGGTCGTGGTCGTGGTCGTGGTCGTTGTGGTTGTTGTTGTGGTTGTTGTTGTTGTTGTTGTTGTTGTTGTTGTTTGTGGTTGTGGTTGTTGCTGTTGGTTGTCGTTGTTGTTGTTGTGGTTGTTGTTGTGGTGGTTGTTGTTGCTGTTATTGGTGGTGGTGGTTGGTTGGTTGGTTGGTTGGTTGGTTGGTCGGTCGGTTGGTCGGTTGGTCGGTCGGGGTTGGTTGGTTGGTTGTTGTTGTTGTTGTGGTTGTGGTTGTTGTTGTTGTTGTTGTTGTTTGTGGTTGTGGTTGTTGCTGTTGGTTGTCGTTGTTGTTGTTGTGGTTGTTGTTGTGGTGGTTGTTGTTGCTGTTATTGGTGGTGGTGGTGGTTGGTTGGTTGGTTGGTTGGTTGGTCGGTCGGTTGGTTGGTCGGTCGGTTGGTTGGTTGGTTGGTTGTTGTTGTTGTGGTTGTGGTTGTTGTTGTTGTGGTTGTTGTGATTGTCGTTGTCGTTGTTGTTGTTGTTGTTGCGATTGTTGTTGTTGTTTGCTGATGTTGTTGTTGTTGTGGTTGTTGTTGTTGTTGTGGTGGTTGTTGTGGTTGTTGTTGTTGTGGTGGTTGTGGTTGTGGTTGTGGTTGTGGTTGTGGTTGTGGTTGTGGT